CACTGTACTTATTATTATGCGTAAAGAGAAATACAGACGAGTAGAAAGCAATTTGTCTAAGAGATTCGAGCCATACCGCCGATTATTTTACCATTATTGATAATTTGATCATTATTTTTCTTTCATTATCATACCCAAAATAATTATATTATAGACAGACATGAAAAATTGAACGATTACCCTTAGCAAATAATGAAATAATCTTTTCGGGAGAAATAATCTAACCGACTGTACTTTTGGTGTAACGAAAGTGACGTTGAGCTGGAGAACGAAAACGTGACGAGCGAGTCTCAATGCGAATTTCTAGTGAAAAAATTGAAAGGTCGTCTATGTGGATGTGTCAGACACTCAAAACATCCATTTGGTGACACATTCAAATATGTTGTGACAGTACCTCCTGCCTCGACTCTAATGCACTTTGTGATGTTGAATATGCCGCCATGACACCGACACTTCACATACAATAGTGACTGTATTGTGTAACACTTTAAAGTACCACTTTAGCATCAGCGGAGGTTTTTTTTCTCTTCCTACTCTACACGCAAGTGATCACAGCCAGAGATCGCATTAAGGTTACATTCACTGTAGCAGTTAATAATACCGGCAAGTAAACCTTACAAATCTGGAACAGTGAACGGGGCGTGATGCATTAAAATGGTGTCCAAGCTTGTCAAGGGTAAATATATATATATGTATGTATGTTTACGTTCTTTTGAAAATAAAAAAAACATGGATTGTGAGCGTTAAATGGTAACACGACGAACATACTATTCTCCGAAAATTGTAAAATAAAATATTTGAAAAAACAAGTGTTTTATATAAACTGAATGTATGTTTTAACAGAAAATGCGTTGGCCCAGTAAACATTATAATCTAGTTTCAATCTAGCCTGCGCTGCTCCCAGCAACACGACGACACGCTGCGTTAATTGAGGGGAATAAAGGACAACGCACTGCCTACTATTGTGTGTTATAAATCACAACTATCAGACTTAGAGGTTTTGTGACGTCATTGATTCACATTACTGCAATATAATGTAAACGTCTATTTGCAATGAAATTCATTTCAACAAGAAACCCCTTCAAATTTAACTATTCGGATGGTGGTGATGATTTTTACCGTAAATAATTGAACCCCATAGCGTCGTATTGAATTCGAAGAAATGTCTAGACGCGATAATGGGTTCGATCCTTCTCATATGATAAATAACAGGGCAAGAACCGGGATGTACGAAAAAATGTACGTGCCCGTTATTTTTAATAATCCCTGTCCGTGCCCTTTTGTCACACAATAAAAGGAAATGCAGAGTTCTTTATTTCAATTATAACACCCCGGAACGTCGAAATATTTATTAGACGTGCAGTGGTACCTCAGGGCGAAAGTAATGTGTCAAATGCGCCGTAAACGCTAATCCGGTTACGCATAGAACATTCAAGAACAAACCACGCACAAAAGCGAGGTAGGGCAAGGTAATATTTTAGGTGAAAATAATAAGGATTTGTTAACGTGAAAAAAATAATGGTCGGTTTTCTGTTCTAACTATACTTACAAACGTGGGGGGAAACATTGAATATTGCCGAGTCCCACTTTGTTCGAGTGCTTGTGCATTGACCGCAGACACTGGCCAGTTAAAGCACGGCGATAATGGGCTACGCAGTCGTAAGCATTGGCGAAGCATTGACGAAGAAATAATTGTACACGAATTATGGCGGATGCCTGTGGCGCTATCATAACACAATGAGCCAAATTGACACCTTTGGTGAAATAATTTCCCTCAGCCACGGTTCAAATATGACTGTCCATCATTCAGGCATTATACGAAGATCGGTGTAGTCACGCGAACACAGTGATGCAACTGATTCCAAGGACGTTTCACAGTACTTATTTACTACCAATTTACGATGATTCTCGTGTAAGAGTGAATGCAATAACACGTCTACCGAAAAGCGTTTCAATGTATTTGTAATCAGTTTTGCGTAATATCCAGCGCACTGTCTATCATTTTTTACCTCAATAAAGGTATTTATCTTTTAATGGGCTGGCTTGGGTAATGTCGTTTTTTTTCTTGTTTACCATTCAGGCATATAATTGTATCTAAAGTCAGGCAGACAATCGTACCCATGGGTCCTTACTAGACAATTCTCATAAATGAAATGCTCATTGTCGTTAATATATCTATGACTTTACGTTTTGACATTCATGTTTCCTTTGCGATTCCCTGGAAATAAGGGAAGAACACTTCGTCATGTAAGGGTACAATTAAATGACCGCTTTTAAAAGTTAAAAGATTTTTCACAGTTACAATTTGAAAGCTCTCTTGTGACCAAACCTAGGATAAGATAATATGACAGCATCATCCAACCGTCGCCTAGACGATCATCAAGATAACTGGGCACGTTCACAGTTTCCTCCAATATGTTCGCAACATAATACAATACAAATCAACATGTCCAGCATCCATAATTGCATCAAAGGAATAAATTGTTTTGCCATATTTTACACGCAACTAGCGAACGACGCGATGTTCCAGTCGTTAAAACTGTGCACACTGTGTGGGTTTGAATCCCGCGATTGAAAAGTAGTATTACGAGAGAACACGGGCGAGCGTGTTTTTTATCAGCATCTTGTTAAGGTGATGTGCTCGTGGGTTGAATTATATTTTAAGCAAATTTACGCGTGAACAAAGGTTTCCCGAAAACACTGTTACATGCCGGTAGTTTCTCGATGTATATTTCAAGGTATGAATGATACAAATTCGCGGCGCTCGGAGCCCTATCATTAGATTTTGGCTTTTTGTGTATTTAGACATTCCTGACTACACACTTTTAAAACGTCGAAGCTCTACCACAAGTGGGACATATTAAAATATTAAAACGCTAAGGTACACATAGATTTTACACATAGTGTTTTTAAATTATTCACGTTTAGGCTCTTCAGTTCAGGGGGGAGTAAACTTAAAGAGTATCTAGAGTCTGTATTGCTGAATATTGAATACTATATATGTAGAGTGTTGTTTTTTTTCTAAAGACGTGGTCCGGGGGTTCTCAGGTAATGACATCAGTGTATGTAACTGTATTGCCATACTAGGCCACCGGCCCATCACGATCTCAAGTATATATTTCTTGAAAGCAATAATACTACATAAATACATAAATTAACTGTAATATAAAAATACTGCCCATCAAGAGGTTAATTTTACTGCCTCTGACCTTAACTTAAAAGCTTGATACTTGTTATTAATTTTATGAAGGTGTGGTGTCCCTGGTCATGTAATGATGACCAACGTAGTAATAGCTCGTCCCTGTAGGCCTGGTATATGGGACATTCGAAAATTAGATGTAATTCATCTTCAATTATTCTGCTATTGCATAACACACATTTCCTTTCAAAACGATCTATAATATGCATATGGTCAGATTCTATTGCTAATTGGTGACTCGAGCAACAAAGCCTTGATAACGATTTCCTAAGTTTATTCACACTTACACAGATAATATATGTTTTACAGTATAGTGTCGTTTTACCTGGCAGAACAAATTTAGGCGGCTCATAGTTGGGCATTCTTCCCGCCATTCCTGTTGCCACGTGTCTCTAATTCTTTGAGCAAAATTTGCAAGGAATTCAATTTCACCCCCCTAATTGATCCACACTATCCGAAATCCATATCTATTCAAAATATCTCGATTATGCGTTACCCAGTTAATTTTACCACGTTCGTCTTCCCGTACTAAAAGAAGATACGATTGCTTAGCAATCTTACTTTCTTCCATACATAATAATTTTAACCAACATTTGATACATTTAATATATGTACTAGTAAAAACTGGGTAACGTCCTAGTTCAGCTAAATTTGGGGTACCCCCTTTAACTCCCCGAAATGTTTTACAGTATTTATAATAGACCCGCTCAATACATTGATACTTCTTAAAACCCCAAACTTCAGACCCATAAGGCAGAATTGGATATATCAAGAGATCAAAAATGTTAAAATATAATTATATGGCAATTGCCCAAATGTTTTCCTATATCTGTTAACAATATGGAGAGCTTTACATGCTTGGTCTGACAATGTTTCTGTAGCTTTGTGCCAAACATTTCTACTGGAGAAAACAATACCTAAATAATTATAATAAGGGACCACTTCTAAGTTTAGGCTATTATATGACCATTTCTCAGTTTTCATAACAATACCCCCATTTCTGAAAACAATTATTTTGGTTTTTGATAGATTAACCTTCATTTCCCATTTTTCATTAAATAGACTAAGGACGTTTAGCAGTCTCTGTAGACCTATTACAGTAACAGCAAATAAAACAATATCATCTGCATAAAGCAGAATAAACAGGTCTTTCAATTCCTGTGTTATTTGAATACCCATGTGACCAGCGTTTTCAAGCATTACTTGCAATTCATTTATAAACATAGCAAAAAGAAAGGGGCTTAATACACAGCCTTGCCTGACCCCTACTGGACACCTGAACTGTTCTGTGCCATATATTCCCACTCTAACACATGCTTTAACATCTTCGTATATACTCTTAATCATTGTGAGCATTTTACGTCTTTTACCATTTTCTAGCAACGACATAAACAACAAGGAGCGGTTGACGGTGTCTAACGATTTTGCGAAGTCCACAAAAAAAAACAATAAAATCTGCCACCTTTTTCCCCAAACTATTTTTGAATGATCGCGTACAGAGAGAAAACATTAGTAATGGTGGAAAATTCTTTCCTGAACCCAGCTTGACATTCCGACAATTTATTATCCACGCCCAATATACAAGTCGTTCATTCATTACAATAGTGAACACTTTTCTAAAGTTATCCAATAATGTGATACCTCGATAATTATTCACATTGCGGGTGTCTCCACTTTTGTATATTAGGTACGATAACCCTAGTTGACGAACCGGTCGGGAATTTTCCAGAATCAAAAAAAAAGTTAAAAAGCTCAACAAGATATGGCATCAAAATATTTTCTGTTGTTTTATTAAACTCACTTGGTATCCATCCATCCCCGGTGTTTTGGGGGTTTTTAGTTTTTGGATGGCAGCTCGAATTTCCGCTTCAGTAATTGGCATGTTTAGAGAGGAGTCTATTAAGTCATCATCCAAATTATGCCCTGTGGTCACTGATTCTGGTAGATTAGACTGAAATAAATTACAAAAGTAATTAACCCATTTATCTGCCGAAATATCATCTTTTCTCCTTTCCCCCGTAATGATCTGATATTGTCCCATAGGGTTATATTGCCTTTCCCGTCCGCTAAAAGTATATTTTTAAGTGATCTTGATACTTATTTTTCCTTAATTTACACACTGACCTGAAATCACGCTTGCATTTTTTATACTCATCAAAATCTAACTGGCTATTGAAATCACAAAATTTACGTAGTTTTTTGTATTTGATAGATTTTAATTCTTTACATTCATCGTCAAACCATGGCGCATCAATATTTTCGACAATACGAGGCTTAAATTGAACTTTCAAATCTGAACCGGCATATTTTAAAATGTGAATGCATTCCATAGTATTATCGATATTGCCTCTGTCTAGTGCATCCCGCACTGAACGCCATCTATCGGAATCTGAAACTTTGTCTGTAAATGTAGTCCCAAGTTCCTGTTTCCACTTAAACTTAGTAATTCCATGCAGTTTTACCCCTACATTAGTCGGTCTAACGCAATAGGGCAGTTCGTGTCTTAGATCCACCCAAGCAACAATAGGCAAATGGTCAGAGTAATCACTTAAAAGAACTGAGAAGTTCGAAACCGAACTAAAGATAGCCGATGAAAAAATCATACAATCAACAAGGCTACTATGCAAGTAAATTCCCCTTTGGCGTCTGATTCCTTACGGCCATTCGCAATGTGTATATCAAAGGTTTTACATGGTGAAATTAGGGATCTCTCGTAATTATTTACTACTGTATCTTTTGACTCGGGTGAACATGTAAAATTATCACTTGAGTATATACCCACTGGTAAATAAGTGAAATTGTCATCTATAATAAAATCATTTAGTTTGGCAGTTCTTGCATTTAGATCCCCAGTTAACACAATATCCAATTTGGAATAATTGTTTAGAATATTTGTCATACACTCTTCTAAATGATTAACACCGTTTTCATCATGTAACACGTCATATGTTGTGGAATATTCAGGTGGTATGTAAGCACACAAATAAATAACATCTCTTGAAGAATTAAAGTTAAAAAAATTATTTTGTAAATATAGTATTATCATATCCTGTAATTCACACTTTAACAGAGTCACACCATTTACTATGGAATTCTTGACATACTACCCCGCAAGAGTTTCTTCCACGTTTATACAATTTCTTCCTCGGTTTATTAAAAATTACATAACCAGGAATATCAGATGATTGTTCAGCTTCAGCCCAAGTTTCCAGAAGACCAATAAGTGTATGTGTAACTACTCGTGTAGAACTAATTGTGTGGGCAACCCTTGTTTAACACGGTGCTAGAGGAGGACAGAACAAACTATTAGCCATATCCATATGACATGTTTTTAAATGAACAGCTAGTAACATAGTGCGAATATTTAACAGAAAGCACATTAAACGCGTTCGGAATTATTGTAATTTGAAATCCTCACATTAACAAGCCGATTAATGTTTTGTGTAATGTTATTCCAAGTAATTATATATAATGTTTATTTGTATTACCTTTAGTACGTACTTCAGCCATAATCATGGCCACGATACAGATATGTTATACAATTATAAACATATTACTGGTGTAGTTACGGTTTCTACTGAGTGTGGGGAACTCGGTAGATTAGCTTCATAAATTGGGAGCTAGAGGTATGTACGGGAATCGGTAAGGGCGTACACGGTGAAGAGATACAGAAAGTCCAGTATGCAACGCTTAAAAGGTTTAGGTTTATTCTTAATATACAGTACATCCAATACACGACACGACTGTTCTAACCACGAGCTATAAACAAGTCCAAAATGATGACTTATTCAAAGCGGTAAGACTGGACAGTTCGCTGGCAGTCCATTTGACTGCTGTTCCCTCGTCATTAATCGACCTGATGTAGAAAAAAGCTTGGTTTAGCACTTGCTTCATATGGATTTCATATTCATATCAATTGCCACCCCGTCGATGTTGCCAATAACCCAAGACATAAGTAACACATGTACAGTATTAGAAGCTTAGTCTATAAGTTGTGACATGCTTAATATTATTGTTAATGATTTGTGTTAACATGTGTTTTGTTAAATTTTAAAATGTTATGATTGCATATATACAACGTATATATTTCATTTTTATGCTCAAAATCAAGGTCGGGAACATTTTCATATCACAAAACTTCAGTATATGGCACCTTCAATGTCACAACTGCCTACTAAAATCAGCTGCTACTCTTTTTCTAATTATTGTAAAATAATAAACTTGGGGAAATTAGCCGAATTGCACATGGGTATGGGTTTATTAGAAATCGGTTTGTAAACAGTACGGCGAGAATAGATTTCACATCTTCTTACAATTAGAGGGCAAAGCACGCAATTTTCTCGAACTCATTTCTTTCGTGTAACTGAAAGACATCTTCCCATACCAGCATGACTTCACAAATGAACGTGCATACAACAACAGAGAAAGGCAGCATGTGCAGAAACACGAATAAGGGCGCACGCCCACTTCCTGAGAACGTGAGAGTCAGTCGTGAGAACGTTGACGTTATTGTCCTTGAATAGCTATTATTTATGTACACGTACTTTTATATTTCAACAGATTTTTTATATATATATTCCATATAAGGTATATTCCTTTCCTCCCAATTCTATAAGAAACATTAATATATGAAATTCCCGCTATAAGTCATGGAGTTAAACGGTAATCGTGGCTTATCAGTTTCAATTAATGTGAGAGGCGATTGACGGATGTCGATTTAATCCATATTCGAAAAAACAAATTAATTTTACCACAATAATCTGATTTAAATCTAAATCTGAATGGTTTGTTGGACATCTCTTTCGAGATTATCACGTTCCAAGGTCGGATTAGATGAGCCGTCATGAATATCCGTTTGATTTTTATCAGAAACCTCTATGGGGTGTAAAATTGTCTCAGAAGAAGCTCAACAAGCGTGATATTATTTTCTTGTTTAATCTGGAACGTGTTCGTCTAATTCAGAACAATTATACAATTGTTATCACTGCAACTAAATAGGAAAAACGAATCAACAGTAAAGTCAGCGGTGTTGTCACACTTGGTAATAGTGGGAGCCACACTGTCATTATTGTGGTTCTATGGAGTGCGATTAAGCCAACTAATGTTATTTTTAAACACAATTTCGGAATGAAAAAAAAAAACTTGTATGGAGACGTGGAATATTACTCTGGCTATCCCACAAACACTTAAACAGGATGCTTAGTTTACCTAATAACGCACGCAGTATTTTGTTTACGTCTTATAAACAAATCCCAATTACAAGTTATGACATCGACTCATATAGCGACTCAATCGGAACTGTTCGGAAATCATGATGGAAAACGCTGAAAAAAACACCACAAATCAGTAGAAAATGCCAGGCCACTACTATCATATTTATCAACGAATGCCAAATATACAATGGCACTGCACACAAACGATCTGTCTAACAGACATACTGTTGGAAGGACGGACAGGCGAACAGACATTATTCTACAAGTTCCTGTAAAACGGGGCTAATACATACGATAGTGAGAATATACTCAATATGTACACATTCTGTCAATCAATCATAGTATAAGTTAATAATATAATTGTATACACTAGATTAAGTTTCATCCTTCATTTTCTAGTGTTAAAACACGGATGTATAAATATTTCGCGAAATAAATGATGAATACATGATCGTTCGCAAGGCTGCGTGTTTTCATAATGACGAGCGTCAACACAATAAGCTCACTATCAGTAACCCGTGTAGAAATGTCCCCTCCGCACCGACTGTTATATTAGATGCATTGAAATTCCTCGTGAAATATTCATACTTAACGTGCTGAACAATTGTACATAGAGGATGCGAAAGAATTAAATGTATACAAAATGATATTTGCAGTGTGATTTTTTTTTCTTTGTTGACAGTAATCGTGTCCACCATACAGTTGTTGATTATGATGATACGATTTATTGGGAGTACATATGCCATGACATTAATAGAACAAGACGAGGTAAAGAAGAGTAGATGTTTCAGAATGTTGAAACACTAGCAACACAGAATAATTTTACTGTCGTTAAAAACGTGTTGCTATCGAACGAACCGATATGTCGCAGACGTTTCGCAGCGGCGAAACAAGGAGAATCCATTCAAAAATATGTATGAGGAGCTTGGTTGTCACTACGTAGTCACAACGGCGGTATTACAGTCTATTTAAAAACATAAAACATCTGTGTCACTTGCAGATTACATTTGGCTAGCAGTTAAGTCGGGGAAAATGTGCACCATCTACTTTACGTAAAAACGCATACCAGACAATAAATACTATTGATCAAATCAAAACATTGCTACGATCAAAAAAAAATACTATTATTTTGGAATCTAAGTTGCATTGGCAGTTGCTTGATGTTGAACAATGAAAATGATTCGTATAAAACCAGAACCCATTGGGTGGCAAACAGAAGTAGAACTGATGCTATTGATTGTTTTTAATGTATTAACTGGCACACTTATATTTAGAGCTGCGAGAATGTGTATTCAGCATTATGATTCCATCTTAAACATTTTGTCATTTCATTCAAGTACACAGTGTTCGGATATATAGTAGGTTCCTACCAACAATATATACTGGAGCATTGTTATCCAGCATCTCGAAGGTCATTTTCAAGTCAGTGAGGAGTGTTATGTAGGCAGCCAGACAGCCAGCGCGATGGTGGTCTGCTTTTGTAGCGTATGAAAACATTATTGTTCTGAACATGCTGAAATAGCGGATGGCGGACGATACAGAAAAGTCAACTTAGATGCTACAAGAACATGAACTAGTATTTAGTAAACGTATATTGTTAGGTGATTGCGAATATGAATTGTTTTGTTTGAGGGTTAAATATTGATCTACATGTTAAGGCTAGGTGCTTACTGAATGATTGACGTCCAATGTTACTCTCGTGTCACTTTTAGAATTCACTGATTGAACAGAACAGGAACTAATATCAACAGTGTAATAATATGGTCAGTTTGAAAGGTGTGAGGTTGAATGATGAGAGGGGGCAGTGAGTAAAATATTTCTAAAATTG